TATCATCAGATCACATTTGATTATGCGAGGATTTGTTGAGGACTACACAATGTGGATTCATCATGGTGAAATGGTTATTGTTAACGACGAGGATGAGGAGGAATACGACGATAAAACCATAGAATCCCTGTCCCAATATTCAGCAGAGCTTGATGCACGAATGGATTTTGAGTTTGGCAAGAAACAAGGTGGTGATGCTGGTGGTTGGGATGGTAACGATGAATGTGGTGCCAATAATGATGGTGGAGCACGTGTCGGAGTTGAAGATGATTTAGATGACATGATTCGAACCCTTGGACCAGAGATTTTACTAAATAGCCCGAAAGGTCTAGAAAATCTGGAAAGAGTGACAAAAGCATCGAAGGAGACTGTGTATGGTGTTGAAAAGGGTTGTCCGACACATTGGACATTACTACGTTTTGTGCTTGAGCTGCTCATCCTGAAGGCTAAGTATGGCTGGTCAGACTGTAGTTTCAATGATCTATTGCATCTCCCGTCATGGGTGCCGCCACAACCAAACTCGGGCCTCCCGCCAACAACATTACTGCTTAAGAAGGTCATAAGTCCATTGACAATGGGGATTGAAAAAATACATGCATGCCCCAAACCATTGTATACTTTTCTCGTGGTGAAACGTTCAAGTCATTGGATAAATGTCCCGGTGTGGGGCCAGCCCGGTACAAGAACAATGACCTTTACGGTGGGGACGAACCATCCACGGGGAAAAAGAGGAATAAGAAGGGTACAAAAAAGGTGGTACAAGAATCTCAGCCCCCAGAGGACACTCCATTAGGCAACGATGCAAAGCAGAGAAGAATTCCTGCCTTGGTAATGTGGTACCTACCAGTGACCGATCGCTTGAGACGTATGTTCCTAAACCCTAAAGAAGCCGCACTCATGACATGGTGGGATGATGAGCGCAAGGTGGATGATGATAAGATTGCACACCCGGCTGATTGTAGTCAGTGGCAAAGGTTTGATGAGAAGCACAAAGAATTCAGCGATGACCCAAGGAATGTACGGCTTGGCCTGAGCACCGATGGAATATATCCCTTCAATGAGAGGATGAGCAACCACAGCACATGGCCAGTGATCTTGACCATGTACAACATTCCAACATGGTTGTGTCAGAAGAGAAAGTAACTTCTCCTCACTATTCTTATTTCTGGCCCTAAACAACCAGGCATTGATATAGACGTGTTCCTCAAGCCCTTGATGCAAGAAATGGAGAGGCTATGGAGGCATGGAGAGCAGATGTACGATGCGTTCCGAAAGGAGGACTTCATATGTAGAGCAATAATATTTGTTACTACCAATGATTACCCCGCGTTGTTTGCTTTGTCTGGATAGATCAAAGGGAAGACGGGATGCATGGTTTGCTTGGATGGTACTACATGGGTGTACCTGGATGCATCCAAGAAGATAGTTTACCTAAGGAACCGACGCTTCTTAAAGACAAGTCACAAGTACCGCAGCAAATTGTTCTTTAGATTTTATGACAACGCCCCGGAGATTGAACCCCCTCCGGAGAGACGTCATAACGGAGAACATGTGTACAGAATGGTGAAAAACATACGCGTCGTCTATGGAAAGAAGAATCAGGATGGGACGAACAGAGATAGAAGCACACCTCCTATCGAAGGCGTACCTTTCAAGAAACAATCGATCTTCTTTCAGTATCTGCCTTATTGGCCAGACTTGGAGGTCCCCCATGCCATTGATGCTATGCACATGCAGAAGAATGTCTTTGAGAGTCTCATTGCTACCTTGATGGACACAGGCAAGTCAAAGGACGGTCTGAAAGCACGGAAAGACATGGTGTAGCTAAACGTGATGCCATAGCTTCACCCGGTACCTGAGGCTAATGGAAAATACACTCTACCCGCGGCGTGCTTCAACCTAACACCAGACGAGAAGAGAGCTATATGCACTTTCCTGAGGGGGATCAAAGTCCCGACTGGGTTTTCAGCAAATGTGAAGAAGCTAGTGTCGATGAAGGACTTGTCAATAACACACTGCAAGGCTCATGATTGCCATGTGATGCTGACAGTGTTTCTACCTATTGCAATCAGGGCTATAAAGCCAGAGTTCTTGAAAATGGCCATCACCCGCATGTGCTACTTCTTTTCGAAGATCTCATAGAAGACGATTGGCAAGGAAGAGCTGAGTAACCTACATGAATTTGTGGTGGAGACACAAAACCAACTGGAGATGTGTTTACCTCCTGCTTTTTTTGATATAATGCCACATCTCATGATTCACATGGTTCATCAGATACAGGCGCTTGGCCCTAGCTACTTGCATGAAATGTGGTCATATGAGCGGTTCATGTTGGTTTTAAGTCGATACGTGCATAATCGAGCATACCCAGAGGGCTCCATGATAGAGGGTTACAGTACTAAAGAAGTCATTGAGTTCTGTCAAGAGTACCTAAAAGTATAGAAAGGGATTGGTAAACCCGATTCTCGTCACAAGGGTAGGCTGGCTGGGAAGGGCACCAGTGGTAGAAAAGTGTTCATCGACCATGATTACAAAGAGGTGAGTCGGGTGCATTACAGTGTCTTGCAGAGTACACAACTGATGCAACCGTATATTGATGAACACTTGGCTATCATTATGGCGGAGAGAAATGGCCGTTCGGATGATTGGGTCATGAAACAGCACAAGCAACGACTAACTACATGGTTGAAGGACCAAAACATACCACCTGAAGAAATCATAGACTCTATTACCATTAGTAGGTTGGCGGAGGGGCCATCGAGACAAGTGACATCTTGGAATGCTTATGATATCAATGGGTACACGTACTATACCCACGCAAAGGATAGTAAATATGTGAACCAAAACAGCGGCGTTCGAATAGAGGCTCTCGATGGATTAGGGCAAAAGATCCAATACTTTGGCATCATTGAAGAGATATGGGAACTTGACTATAGAAGGGATATAACGGTGGCCCTGTTTCGATGCCGCTGGATCAAACAACACCAACTAAACAAGATCGGATTGAGAGTTCTGGACCTCGAGAATCTAGGCTACCAAGATGACCCTTGGGTGCTCGCTTCACGTGTCGCACAAGTTTTCTATATGTCTGACCCACAAAGTAACCTCCCCCCGAAGAAGAAGACAAAGCACGTGGTTGCCTCCGGGAAACAGCACATTATTGGAGTTGATGGCGTGGACGATGTTGAAGCTTACAATAACTACGATGAGATGCCGCTATTCACAGACTTTCCTAAGAAGATCAGTGTTATGGAAAAGAACCTCCCCAGAGACATAATGCCATGGGAACGAAAAGGTGTCAAGGGAAAAGTCATTATAGCGGGCTAGCTAGTTGTTGAACGTGGAGTGTTTGTGTAAGTGTGTGTTTGTAAGACTTTATTTATGCATGCGTGTGAGACTATATATTTATGTACGTGTGTAAGACTACATATTTTTGTATGTGTGTGAGACTACATTTTATGCATGTGAGACTACCCTTTGCAACATCCAGATGACTCTATTTGAACATCCACTCTATTACTACTAAAACTTTATGAAATCACTTAACACTTTATGAAATGAAGAAATGACCAAAATAAAAGTAGGAGATCTGGATGAGTTATACAACTCTTATATTAATCACCTTTACAGCTGAAATCATTTAGTGTTTGAAAATCAGGTTTGAAGCTGTCATTTTCTGAAATTTAAAATTTGAATTGTCACATGAAGAAGTGATCAAAATAAAAGTTGTAGACAGTGAGGAGTTCAACAACTTTTATGTTCACGACTTTTATGTTTACAACATATTCATTTTATTTAATTTAAAGTCATAAAATTGTAGTCGAAGTTTTAAAATTCAAATTTATAATTTTTGTTTTTTTGTTTTCTATATTGTTTTGACTACAATCGTTTATATATATATTTCTTCATATATATAATAATACAAAATATTATATTTGTGCATATACACAATTGTTTTTATATTACTTTTATTTTGGTCACAATTGTTTTATATATACACAATTGTTTTTATAATATAGAATTAACAATTTAAAAAAAATAAAAATATATTTCTAGGGGGGTTGGATCACGAACCGCCCCTACAAATGCATTTCTAGGGGCGGCGCGATCAGGAACCGCCCCTACAAATGCATTTCTAGGGGCGGCTGGATAAAAAACCGCCCCTACAAATCATCCTGTCTATATATATGAGGGCACACGGGTGTTGTCTTCATTTGGGCGATCTCTTCTCCTCCGACGCCGTCAGGCTGCCCACCGACGACTGGCTGCCGCGCCTTCCCCACCGGGACGCTTGGCCCGCCACTTCCCTCACCCATGCGCCCCCATCTCGCCCCCTGCCTGCTCCTTCCCCAAGACCCACACCGCCTCCTCCTCCCGCCCTAGGGTTTCGACCCCGCCGACGCCCCGCCCGCCCCCGGTGGTTGGCCCCCGCCACGGCCGGCCGCCTCACCCACCGCGCCCATCTCCGCCCCCCACGTGCCTGCTCCTTCCCGCACCCACGCTACCGCCTCCTCCACCCTAGGGTTTCTGACCCCGCCGCCGACGCCCGCCCGCTCCCCGGTGGTTGGCCCCCGCCGATCGGCCGCCTCCCTCGCCCTAGTGCCTCGGCACCATCTCTGCGGCGTGGGGCTCGTCAAGGCATTCGAGGCGCCTACTCGACAGTGCACGGCGGTGGCGCCTAACTCGCTCTGTCTGAGGTACTCCAGCGGGGACGGGCTCGGGTGCAGAGATCATCGGCACCTTTGTGCTCGCTCACACCGCCTTCTCCGCCACCGACCCCAAGCTAGTTAGCACCATGACTCCCACGTCCCGGTGAGCACCCGACCAACGCCACCGCCTCTTCCTTTTTATCTTTCAGCTTTGTGTCTCGACCTGCTGCTACCTGCTTAGTTGAGAGTATACTATTTTGTAGCTTAAAAGTTGGCTTGTTTTAATACTTGGCATCACTCGTAAGTTGAGTCCTAGGCGAGCTTAATTAGAGCTCAAGTCATGCTAGCTAATCACCGGATGGCGGTTGGGAGCCGATCAACCCTGCATTTGAATGTATGTCTAACCACTTAGCAAGTAATGAAAGGAACAGTGCATGTGATTCAGAGCCTAGAATGCTTTACCTGCCCAATTGGGATAGTTCAGGTTCCTGGAGCAGCAGATCTTGCAGGTTCTCAGCGCTAGCATCACTGTTATTAGCAGTAGAAAAGAGCAAGGTTTAGAAATTTCACTGCCAATAGATTTAGATGATAGGGTAACATGCCAATCGTAGCACACCTAGAATCAAGAGAGAGTAGCCTATGATGAATTGAGTTATCAGAGCCAATGTAAGTGACAACTAGGCTTCCAAAGATCCGGATGCGCCAGCTTCGTGGTGGTAGGAAATCGAGAACAAATGTTCCTGGCTCCTTTAACAGTTCCCTGTAACTTCTTAGTGCATTCTCAGCTTCTTCTATTGTAATCAAGCCCTCTATCCATCTAGGTGTTGTGCAATCCCACAACTTTTTAATTTTCTCTTTTGACAATGAAACAACCACTGGGAATAACCAGTACCATAGCCTATCAAATTCATCTCTTCCTGTGTCCTCACCACAACCAGCAATGCCTCTTAAAACCTCAAAATCCTGAAACAATGAATAATTACTTGGCTTATCGGCTTACCGATAGTACTTGACTATCGGCTTACCGATAGTACTTGCCTATCGGCTTCCTGCATGGCAGCAGTAGCCCACAGACGTGTTGGTAATAGTCTATTCATGCATTATCTAGTGTGAAGTGAAACTGCATTGGTACTAGTCTATTCATGCATTACCTAGTGTTGTTTTATGAACTGCATTACAGGGCACTAGTAAGTCTATTCATGCATTGGTACTGAAAGTAACTATGCTAAGTGTCTGTAGTGTTGTGTCAGTACTATTAAATTTCTAAAAACTGGATAGTGGTCATTTCAGCTAAGTGTCAGTGCTCATTTCAGTTAAGTTTTAGTGCCCATTTTAGTTAATTTTCAGTGCTCATTTCAGTTCAGTTTTAGTGCTCATTTCAGTTCAGTTTTAGTGATCATTTCAGTTCAGTTTTAGTGCTCATTTCAGTTTCAATTTCAGTGCTATTTTCTGAATGTGAACTACTTGATGCTGTGATCTACCACAGTTGGGCAGTATCGGGCTGAGATCGGCCACTATAAGAAATTAATTGTGTTGGTTGTAACGTGCTTGCATTGGGGGCTAGTTTGGGCTGGGGTCACAGTTGTGTCAAACTTGTCCCTCCCTTTGTGACTTCTTAAAAGGAATGAGGCCGCCTGCATTTCTGCTTTTCGATGCTCACCTCGCCTGTTGTCTGTTGAGACTTGAGAGAGTTCTCTCATCGCTGCTGGAGTAGTTCCAGCATGCAGATGCAGGAAGTGATGTCTCTACCACTGCTAGTTTTTTCTCAGTTCAGTCTATTTGTCTGCAGCTTGCATCCAGTTATCTCTATTTCATATAATTTATGTATTAGATTTTTTTTGTTTTATCATGATGTCTTGGTTTCCTGTTTGGTGATTTTGAGTATTAGAAATGTGGTTAGCATGAGCGAAATCATTGATTTGCCCATGTACCAGTGGCTGCTGGCTGCTGGTTGGTCTCCTACAACTCCTATTACTACTACTTGCTACTCCTACTACTACTCTACTACTATACTCTCCTCTACTCCACTCTACTCCTCTCCTCTCCTAAGCAGCTTTTGCTACTTCTACTACTACTCTACTACTTCCCTAATACTACTGTTTACTACTTCTACTTCTGTCTTCTATCAACTACTTGTACTTCTGTCAACTAATTCTACTACTTCCTTACTACTATTGTATACTACTTCTGATTGTCCAATATGCCTATTAGGTTTAGAAGATATTAAACATATGATGTTCATGTGTGATCGAGCAAAGTCAGTATGGCAGCTGTTGCTTTTTTGGGAAGCAGCACCTGCTTTTTTTTTGCCAAATCTCCCCTCTCCTCTATTTTTGCCGCCTTTCCTATCCTCTATGTTTGGGAAGCAGCAGCTGCTTTTTTACACCTTTTCCTCTCTATGTTTGTTAAGCAGCTGTTGCTTTTTTTTGCCAAATCTCCCCTCTCCTCTCCTCTCCTTTGTTTTGCCGATGATGAAATTGTCCAAGTCCGTACATTATATGGAATATGAGCTGATGATCAAGAACTTGTGAGGAACTTGGCATCATTAGCACCGCCCTACATTACCTTCTCCTCTTCTCTCGTTATGATGCCTTGATGCTCCAAGTTCAAGATCGATGATGATTGACATATTTCGAGGCCTCTACCACTCGCTACTTCTCGTTTTTTATATTGTTGTTTTATAGGACTACTTTGGTTTATAGACCTTTTGATTTCTTATACATTCTCGCGCACTCTCTAAAGCACACTTTCTTACATCTTTTAGAACAAAGCGTGAAATAATGTCGCGGACAACAGAGACAAAGGCAGACTCGATGCCCCGAGCATGATGAACAGCCAACCCTTGAGGAGCAAGCACTAGAGGACCAGCTTACTCAAGAACAGTTCGATAACGAGGTAGAAAAGGATCTAGAAGTGATGCTTACTCAGGAGGAGTGTGACGAGGAGGAAGGCCCCGAAGGAGAGGCTGCTGAAGGCGAAGAAGAAGAGGATGATGAGTCAGAAGAGGGATATGAAAGTCCCGAGGATCCTTTCCCACCTGAAGTAAGGAGGCCAACGAAGGAAGATTTGGACAATGATTTTGACCCGAACGAGGAGGTAGGGAAGAAGCCTTAGCATGTAAATTTTGCTAAAGCTTTGGCTGTGTTACCTCTACTAACACTTTGACCTATCCTATATATAGGTCCCTCCTGAAACTCAGAAAAGACGACGTCGACGGCCGTGACATCTCGCTGGACAAGACGGAGTAGAGGAAAGGAGAGCAGAGGCAACAACCACAGAGACGGATCATGATGGCTCTGCTCTAGAAACTCAAGACACAACCACGACTACCAAGCCTAAGAGAAAACGAGGGGATAGAAAAGGAAATCTATATCCAGATAAGGCTTGCTATGTGATAACGGAGGTTGGGCCAGGAGGGGAGATCCTTGAGCTGAAGGAATTAAGAGGACGATTCCGTAATGCGATCGGGGCCCTAGTAAGAGATAAATTGAACCTAGCAATCCCTAACTGGAAAGAGGTACCAGAGAACATAAAGAATGCACTATGGGATAGACATCTGAAGGTCAATTTTAGATTTCCAGAGGGTAAGCACGAATTGGTAAAAAAAATGCTATCAGGATGATGGGAGAGTCATTTCGACATTGGAGGTCGGAGCTCAACACGAAGTATATCCAAAAGGGGTTAACTCCCTTCAACGAGTTTGGCAAAATAACTCCTAGTCAATGGGAGGAGCTCGTGGCTCAGAAGACTTTTGGAGCTCAGTGCCCGTAACACTGAGCTGGCGAAGAGGAACAAACACCACCATCATCTAGGCCCCGGTGGCTACTATGCCAAGGAAGACCAATTTAGGAAGATGGATGAAGAGGCCGCAGCTGCTGGGAATATCGATTTGACAAACTTGAAGGTACGCTCAAGGAACTGGATATATGCGAGGAGTACAGAACCATCCGGCAGTAATCTTAAGTTTGATAAGCCGGAGACCCAAGAGGCGGTATCAAGGATACTGAAATATGCTGAGGACAAAGAGACGGGCTCATTCAATCCTTCCAGAGAGAGGGACGAGCTTAGCCTTGGCTTGGGAAACAAGGAGCACACAGGCCGCACCAGGGGGCTAGGGAAAAGGATGACCTGGAAGCAAGGATTCGAAGAGGACAGGCACATGTACAAGAAACATGGCCGAGACCGGGAGACTAGTCTTGAGCTCCAAGTGAAGGCTCTAGTTGCGAAGGCGCTGGAGGAGCAAGGAATGTCTATGGAGCCACGTATATTAGTGACGCCACCGGGAGAACTGGCATTAGTTGGCAGCCCTCCGAAAGTTCCTAGCAGCCAAGGTTCCACTGCAGCCACAACCCCAGTCGATCTCATACGGGAACCTACTAGTTGCACCTTGGTGTTTCTCAGCGGCCGGCAGAACACTGTGATGGAGGTGGCAACGGGTGTGGCACATCCTCCCGGTGGCTTACACCACAATAATAAGATATCGTCGGAATACACTAGGGTCGAGGTGCATACAGTGAAGCCCGAGTTCATGCAGTGGAGGATAGACTATGCAACTCCCGAGGGGCTAGTGTTACTCGGAGACGTTATGGGGCAGTTCATCCTCTGGCACAAACGGGACATTATATTGACTGCCTCTTCGTCGCCTCTCCCTCTCCCAAATTTGGAGCGAGTTGTTGAGGCCGGGGAGATATTTTCACCGTCTTGTGACCCCCACATTCCTGAGATGCCACATTCTTCCCCGCCTCCTATCGAGCATGTGCGTGATGAGATGCCACAACCTTCTCCAGCTCATACCGGGCAAGTGCATCATGAGATGCCACAGTGTTCTCAACAAGCACAACCGATACATGAACAACGAGTGCCTCCTGAAGAAGGTGATGCACAAGAAGATGAGGACGTGCCTAAATGGGAACTCCGAAAAAAGATTCCAATCAACATAAGGCCAGTTTATGTTCCGATCAAAGACGTCTCGTCGGTGTCCAAGTGGTATCCCCATGATCGGTTCAAGCCTCGAAAACCAAGTTAAAAAGTCCCATCACGGGGTTCGCAGAGGTCACAAGACAAACTCCACCAAATTGCAAAGCAAGATCCAAATGTTGATGCCATCGAATGGTCAAAGGATTGCCCAAAAAAAATATGAAAGAGGCAAGCCCTTCCTACCAAACCGGGACATCCAAATACTACCACTTGGAATGAGAAGATTCTATGATTGGTACTTGCGTGTTCTCCCAACGAGCATAGATATCATACAAGCATGCTTTTTCCACACCAAGACATTTGGAAGCCCAACCGGGAAAATTGTCTTTGACTTCAATGACATGCACACATGCTTTCACCTAGGAGAAATGGAGATGAATCTAATTCGCACGTGGTGCCTGTAAGTCCTTGTCCTCCCGATATGATATGAATGTAATCTTTGAATTATGTTGTAACTAACCCACGCCGTGATTTGTAGAATGCAAGTGCACATTGTCAAACAAATGCCAAGTGTGAAACCCGGGTATGTAGACCCTCAAGCTATAGCCCAAACAAATTTTAATTACCCTAAACGGTGGACACTGGATGCCAAAGAGCTAGCAGATGCAAAGACTCTTCGGGAGAAAGAGCGCATCCGTAGTGCGAAGCTAAGGGAAGAGTCCCTTAAGGTTGCGGCATACATTGCCTTGGCTTTCAAAAATCTCCAACACCACTCTACTATATGGCTACCATACAACTTCGAGTAAGCTCAACTCTATACTTAAAGCTTTGTTCGATATATTTCATTCGATGCAAAAGGGCTTATCTAGTTCTATGATTAAATCCATGCAAAGAACTAATCGGATTTGTATAGCCGTCGATGTCGGGAGGAGCATGGCATGGGTCTTTGATTCATTAGATAAGGACATGGTGACATACAAAGACTTCATATCGATTCTCAAGACGTATACATATCGACAATCCTCATTAGCTTATATGTTTGTATACATACTTGTAACGTTCACTTTTGGATACTAACAAGTTGTATTTGCTAAAATAATTCGAACAGGGCATTTAGGTTCTATGTCACTAATCATCA